ACTCTTTCTTGTGGAATAGGAACCAAAGACCAAGCTTCACCCACAAACCCTCTTCCAAATAAACTACAGCAAGACAGATTCAAAACTAATTTCTGCTCTAATAGTCAGCCAGTGACAACAGTGACAAAATTCAGACAGTATTATTAATCTCCTGGCTGGCTTATATTAGGGCAAGTTTGAAATATTTTTACAGACTGGCTGAACGATGTTATTCCATAAACATGCAACTCCTTGAGACAAGTGCAACCACCATAGTAGGTGACAATGAACGTAGCTCTCAGTGACAAGAGAATCTGACTGTATGAATACCACTTCACCGTCAAATGCGTCTCATCTTTACATTAGGACGTGACAGGTTACAGATTTCCACTTCTGCTTTTTCCATTTTATTGGCATCTTTTCTTTTTTAAATCACAGATGACACATTCAATGGCTGATGCTGTGACAGAAAGGCATAGATCAGAAGCTGTTCTCACCATCAGCCTGGTGTGCAACCTGAATACCTCTGACTTCATCTAAGGTTGGGGCTCCCCTTCTTGAGCTGTGGTTCATCCTAACTATCCAGGTAGATAGCCTAACTATTGGATACCTGAATTCCTAACTGAAAGGGAGTGGCGTGTCCCCCATCCAAGTGTTAATACTTGGGCTGAGAAAGGCAAGGTGAGTGCCAGGCAGTTCAGAGTCACGCTGGCTGTGAAGGTTCTCCAGGGAAGGGCTGGAACGGATCACAGCCAAATATAATCTCAAAGAAATAAACAACTTCAGCTCCTGCAGTGGCTACACACACTTCAGGAAATGGCTGTATTTTCAAAGGATGTTGAAGCAGTGCAGTTTGTGGAGCGGTTTGGCTTAGTTGGGTTTAAAAACATTCTATATATAAATTTACTCAAATACTGTCATAAAAGCTCAGCCACATATTCTGGCAAAATATTATATGTAATATAATATAGACTGAAATCAGACTGGAAGAGATCCAGACCATCTGCTCTACTCTTAAGAAAACTTCTTCCCTTTGTTTCCTAATTAGTATTTTAATAAATCAACCAAATCTATTTTCCTTAAAGTAAGTACTGCACAACAAGTGACTTTTGTCTTAACTCTCATATATTTAAGAGTTCTGTGGACCGAACAGTCAGAAGGTCCAAAGATGCACATCAGATTTTGGCACGCATCTCCTTGGTAATTCTGTTTACAGTGGCACGTGTGGACAGATGGTACTTGTCTACGTGAAAACACACACAAGCAGTAACCCCAAAACTCTATACATATTACATTTTAATATACATCCTATATAAATTATGTGTAGGGA